TGTGCGAAGTAGAAAACATCTTCTAAATCGTACAGTGGTGGACCGCCAATCATCCAGATAGTGTGGATAGTATCGGGAGTTCTGCCGCGATGTGCGTTCGTGAAATTTGGAGGCTGGGATTAATTCGAACAAATAAGTTATTGGTTATGGCCCCATACAAGAAAAAGGAGAAGATTCTTTTTCATAACCAAGCTTGTCTACGCAAAACATTAACATAATTAATAGAATTAAGTGGTTTGTTCGCTATAGAACAAGTAATTCTTAAATAGAAGTAAAATAAAAAAAAACTGCGTAAGTGTCGTGGAACACTAGGTGAGAACAAAGTTCGTTTCGTAGTATAATATTATTGATAAACGTATTTTAGTATTGATTAATAAATACAAATAAATGAATTACTAACATCTATCAAAATGAAGCGTCATTTAAAATAATATTTATTTCATGGCAAGGTAAGAAAAAGTGCGAGGGAGATGGATATTATTTCATCTCGCTCGCACTATAAAAAGGGGGTCGTGACGGAATAATCTTACACTTTTTCTCGCCTAGCACCCATCCGTCAAATTCGTACCGTACGATAAAGAACTTCGTTCCAAAAAATGGAAAAATCTGCAATTTACATTTTTGGTAAAGAAATAATAGTAAATGATACTTATTAAACGCAAATTAAAATTATTTATACGCCATTAAATAGGTACTAGTATTTTGTTCTTGGCATTCTAAAATTGGGTTTAATAAATTTGCCAATGCATGATTGACATTTGAGAATGTATAATTGGTTTTATCATTAATGTAATTTAAATAAAACTAAATGTAAATGATAAAAAGACAGAAAGTTAATTTTATCTCATATTGCAGTTATATATAATATATAAGTACTCACGCCTGTCACCCAGAGGGGTAGGCAGAGAATACGGACTTCCATTTGGCACGATCCTGACACACCTCCCTCGCTTCCTCCACATCCATATACGTACGCATACACGCTCGTCGGTTAAAGGTCAGTTATTAAACAATAATAATATTGTATGTACATCTTCAGAATGTCGATAAGTGATAAGTAATTATATATTTACTTAAATTAATGTTGTATTTATTTGTCAAAAGTAAAAATGGTTACTTACTAACCTTAAGTCTTCTACTCTTCTCTTTTCGTTTGTAGAAGTAACTGTAAAAAATAAAAATAAAAACTTTAACTATTCAATTATATAAACTTTTATTTTATTATAATTTATCATATTGTCAATTATTTGTATATTGTACATAAATCCTTTCACTCATAATCTGTTAAAGGATTTTTATAGGCAAATAGTCACCTATATCATAAATATAATTGCAGATGCATTGTCAAACTCGGGGGCTAAGATAACCTGAAAAAGATTTTATATAAAAGGAGTATCTGGTTCTCGTCCCTCACTATACGAAACACAACAGTATCATGCTTCTATTTCACGCTGGTATTCTGTGCATATGTGGCCATTATTCGGTACAGCCAACCCATTTGATCTGCAGCTATGATTCAGTTTGTATGGACCTGAACGATCTTTGAATATAGAGGGAAAGACTCTGCAGACGATTACAAATAAATACCTACTTATAAATTTTACGCTAAAAATGGGCATTTAGCAGGTCCAGTACTACCGTCTTCACCACGCTTTATGGGCAGATTACCTATCAAAGATGGTCGCTTGGTCCGGAGATTTCATGCATAATGAAACTTTGAAAAATGGCGAGATGAGTAGACGATATGGAAGGCGACTGGCAGCAACTGGATGCGTGAAACTATAACTTGGATTAATGGCACGCATAGTTGTTTGCCTCCTCTTATAAAAAAGAAACATCAGCACCAAAAAACAATCATCAAATCTGATTTAATAAACTTATTTGAATAATATGTCTTAAATTAACACTATTTCACCTTCTATGAAGCAAAGGCTTGTTCATCCCTCTATAACTAAAAATGAAAAATACCTTAATGCTATTTTAGATTTGCTATAACTTGAGGTGTTTTCAAATTACCTACCATTAGGAAGGCATTGTTATTTCTTTCTCATTTTGTTCATCAACGCGTAAGAGTCCACTGAAGATCATTGGCTTCCCCGTAGCAGAAGCGATTTGCTTTAATCACCACGCTTGTTTAATTAATTTTTTTAAATATTTTTATAAAACTATAGACCTTCCCTGGCTTCGCCTGAATATCATCTTTTATTGAGGTGTTGTTTAGGTTTAAGGCAATAAAAGACCATATACTTTATCAAGTTTTCGTTTTAAAAAAATCAATATTTACGTTTTATTTTAGTATATAATATAGGTATATAATATCCTTCCTGCACGGCTAGCATGGACTGGGGACAATAAATTTATCCACCGTTTGTGTCCACTGACAATGGATAGAATTATCTTCTCCTTATGCCAAAGCATCGCAAGGGGGAGAAGTATATCCCCGTTTGACATAACGAGTAGACATATATCCTCCGTCTATACGCTGTATGGACTTAAATGAAAGATAAAAAATTATGATTTTTTGATATTTAAAAGGGACAATTTTATCCTAGTTGATTAGACGTGGGTTTAATATAAAATTCATACAAAAAATCTATCTAAATCTAAGTCTATCTCCCATTCTAACAACTGTGGATATTATATCACCCATGCTCGAAGGGTGGATAAAACTAAGCGAGGGGATAAGCATTTTCTTCTTTCCCTGGGGATAAAATTGTCTCCCGCCCATGCCAGCCCGGCTGGAGTTGCTCTTCATCTGTTCGTAAAGTCTCACCACAATCAGTTCAGTCATTTCAACGAGTAGCCCGGACAAAAATAAAAAAAAATACTTTTATGTCTCATACATTATGTGTCTTTTATTGTCTCATACATTATAGACATGTCATCATATCAGTCTAATAACTCCCTGAGCTAAATAGAAGCCTGTTTATTTCAATATTACGGACGGACAATTCAATTTTATTTGTATGTATGGATAAATAAAATAATGACACAGCCCGTATAACGCAATGAAACAACTCGACTATGGTGTCGCAGTTGGATTGACAATCACAGTTCTAGACGTCAAGCAATTTAGACAGTACGTCATCGTTCTGGGTACTTAACGTCTGGTACAGATATTATTGTTACACTCGTACCGCCATCAAATATCAATAAGATAGTTTGATATTCTTGTCATGATATTCCAATAAAAATATTTAATCACTTCTTATTTCGGCGTTAATGTTGTACAGACGATATAAGAACACAGAGACTATATTATTGGTATCTCTTATTACGTAGACGAGAATTCAATTCGACATTTTATAAGATAATTTGCGTTTAAAAGACGTCTTTCTGAATACTCCAGCTCATAAAAAGCTCAATAAATATTTATTTATTAAAATACATCTTATTTGTATCAAGTAACAATATGTAGGATGGTTCAGCATCCACTTTTTTACTTATTTAACAAAATACTGGTATAATGCATATTTCGTGTGGTGAGTGACGAGAGCCGGAAGCCTTTTTACTATTAAAAATGTATTCCATCTTAATACTCAGGACTGACAACGCTTCTGCGAGGGCACATTGCACTTAATTCAGAAATAAAACAACTAACTTCATGTACCACTCTCACATGCTTTAAGACTTTAGAACGAATTAGCAAACACGCGAATTGCTATCTCACACTAACTTTCAACAGTGGTAGAGCCACGCGGCAGCTTTTGTTGTCGCACGGATGGGCCGGCTCGAACCGGGGTGGTACCACGATCTCGCAGAAAACCAGCGTGAAGTAGAGGTTTACCTCTGCGTTTCGCTTGGTGAGTGCAGGTGGCCGGAGGCCCTTTTTACTGGAAATGAGGCATTCCATCTTAGTCCTCACGGGTGACAACGCATCTACATTTTGATTTGTAATAGAGGATAGATGTAGATGTCTATGGGCCGCAGCAACCACTTACCATCAGGTGGACTGTGTGCTCGTTTTTCACCCTTATCCTATAAAAAAAAAAACTGAATAGTTGTGGTTCACCTACTCTAATATACTATCTTGTTTACAGTTGGAGCACAGTATTGCACTTTGTACGTTTTATCTTCCCTGCTTAACCTAAAGAACGGTAGAAAATACCTTGTGGCATCAAGTCCACTTTTTGTACTTGTTGTGCACATAAAGTTTAAAATATTAAAGCAAAATAGTACTAGCTTTTGCTAGTACCCCTGCACATTTGAAATCAAAAACGAACTTTTGTTTGTTTTCCCGTATGTTAATCGAGGGCATGATGCTTGCTGAAAATCATCCAAATCCATTGAGCCGCTTTGCGATTACAAACTTTCACTTGTTTTAGAATTATATATCAAAATATCACCTGAAATACGGAATGGTAACCTAGTTCGCACGTTCACGTCCAATTACGCGTTTCAAGTGTCCTTTAATGCTCTTCAATCCAGATTCCCAAAGTTCTCCAAAGTGAAGCTATCTAAATTAACAACAACATCGAAGTCTTGTAAAAATTGTGGGCCATTCCACCATAGTTTGCTGCAAGTCAGATGGATATCTGGACCACGGGAAGCTAAATCGGTTGGATTATTCGCCGAACTAACATGATGCTATTGGTTACTATTTGTGAATGTCAAAATCTCTGAAGTGCTATTAGCAACAAATGTGGTCCACGTATTAGGTGTCATACGCAGCCAAGCCAAAACTATGGTTGAATCCATCCATGCATATATATTTTCATTAGAGATATTTAGTGTGGTTTTAATATGGTGTATCGTTTTCGCCAAGAGAACTGCACCACAGAGCTCGAAACGGGATAGTGACATTTGTTTGACGGGAGCAACTTTAGATTTAGCCGTAACCAGATATGCTTTAACATCATAATTTTCCCAAAGTCTGAAATACACCACTGCAGCATAAGTGACACAGGAAGCATCACTAAATCCATGCAGTTCTTGTTTAATTGTGCTGTCAGAAACTCCAAGCCATCGTGGGAACTGAATGGGTTCAGAGTGCGAAAACTTTAAATGTAAGTTATCCATTTATTTTTCAGGTCATGAGGGAGTTCTTCGTCGGCGTCGGCGGTTAAGCCAGCTAACCACATCTTTTGCATAAAAATTTTAAGTAAGATAATTTCAGGTGTTTGCCAACATAGAGGGTCGAAGGATTTTGCAATTGTGGACAGAATATTTCGTTTTGTGAGATTATTATCAGTAAAGTTCATGTTTATATTTAATTCAAAATTATCTATTTGTGAGTTCCAGTTAATACCCAAAGTTTTCAGAATATCTTCAACCTTTATATTTATTGCGTTTTGTGATTCTTTATCATGATCAGGAATTTGTAATAACACTAATTTACTGTTAGATGCCCACTTGTGCAAAGAGAAACCACCGCGAGACAACAATTCAGCATGCTTTTTTTGTAAGAGAACAGTATCTTCTTCATTAGACGTACTTGTCATTAAATCATCCATATACAGGTCATTTTTCATTATTTAAGATTCTACATTTCATGTAGAATCATAAATCATGTTTTTCATCTTCAGAAAATTGGTGATAATTAAATAAAATAATTTGTGACAGTCTTCCTTAAAATCAGCGTTACGTGTGAAACGTTTCTCCATGTGCTGTAAGCGACTAACAGCAAGACGTCTAACATCACCAAGATTTGTGGGAGGATCATCCTTGAACGGTAAACACAAAATGTTACGTCCGTTATCATTGCGCGTGTGTGTGGATTTAAAATGTTCTTCACATTGTGCTTCCAATTCAGTCATCGGCTATCTGCGAGGTAAGTTCTCTTCAATTTCCCAGAATTGTCTGAGTAACTGATCTGCTCCGAATTTAGTATGAGCAACTATCATATTGTATTCCTGTGTTGCAGTATTAGTTTGTAAAGCCTTGCGGAGATCAACCAACCCAGACGAGAGTTAAGTGCAATCAGAGAATTGTACTTGTGTGGTCCTTGTAGTAGTATGTGGGCATGCACATCGGCACCAAGCAGAACGTCAATAGGTTCTGGCTTGTGAAAGTATGAAACAGCTAGATCCAACTGCATATACGAAGGCCAAGTCTTGTTCGGAATCGTTTTTCTAGGAAGCTGTTTATTTCGCCATATGTGGGAATATTAGTTGAACTTTCTAACGACTGTTCTCAATGTTTGTGAGATTTAATATCTAACTTTCAGACTAGAATATAAACGACTATTGTATTCCATGAATTAATCCTCAAATTTTTTAGAGATGTGACACATTGGCTAGCAGTGTCTAGTAAATCTTTGATACCTTTTGCTAATTCAGTTGTTAGTTTTTTCTGAGCTAAAAATCGACTTAGAATATCATTCACAATCACTCGCTTATTCTCATATCTTTTATTTAGTTTTTTCCATGCATCATCATAGTTCGCTTCAATTAAAGAATAATTTTTGAGTAACTGTTTGGCTTCTCCAGTCAGACAAGATTTTAAATAATCATGTTTTACGGTTTTAGACAAACGGTCATTACAATGTGGATTACTGGAACAAAACCTATATAATAATTATATTGAAATGACTGAAACGACGCTCAACAAAAATCCCAAACACTTTTGGTCATTTATAAAATCGCGAAAAGAGGGAAGTAATTCTTATCCGAATATTATGACAGATGGGGTTATTTATGAATCCGACGGAACAGCTATATGCAACTTATTTCTTGAATCATTTTCGAAATCATTCGCTATAACAGACTCAGGAACTCAGAATGTAGCCAGTCCAACTTCTACTTATCTCAACTATATAGCACAAAATAGCTTCAGCCTTGGGACTATTTCGATATCTCGGAAGTCAATACTAAAAAAACTACAATCACTCGATACAAATAAAGGCGCAGGCCCAGATGAAATCCCACCTATTTTTATCAAAAACTGTGCTATAACACTGGCTGTACCTTTAAAATACATTTTTAATTACTCCTTATTGACAGGTGCCTTTCCAAGCGTTTGGAAGATAGCCAAAGTAGTTCCAATACATAAATCTGGCGACAAGAACTTAGTATCGAATTATCGACCAATCTCAATTTTGTCGACAATGGCAAAAGTTTTTGAATCTGTTGTTTGCCCCTCAATACAAAGCCATTTTCAGCAATACGTCAGCGTACATCAGCATGGATTTTTAAAATCGAAATCCACTTGCACAAACTTAGTCACATTTGTCGAAGGAATTGCTGAAGCTCTAGATAAACAGGAGGAAGTAGACGTTGTGTACACAGACTTCAGCAAGGCCTTCGACAAAATACCCCACTTACCTCTTATAGACAAACTTGCTGCCTATGGCTTTACAGGAATTTTTTCCAACTGGATTAATTCATATCTAAGGAATAGACGTTTCTTCGTTGTTGCTAAAGGCTATAAGTCTGAAGCTCACAAGATATCCTCAGGAATTCCTCAAGGATCCCATTTAGGGCCAATTCTTTTTAACGTATATATCAACGATATGCCCAATAGTTTCCTTTATTCAACGCCCTATCTATTCGCAGATGATTTGAAAATTGCCAGAACTATTAAGTCCCAAGCTGATGTTCTTATGTTACAACATGATTTAAATAGGTTATACAATTGGTGCTGTACAAATGGGATGGAATTAAATATAGATAAATGCTTTTTTATTAAATTTACACGCAAACATAGTAAAACTAAATCCAAATATTATATTGATGGTAAACCATTAAAAGAAGTTGATAGAATTAAGGACCTGGGAATAATTCTAGATAACAAATTAACTTTCGTACCACATATTGAAAGCATTGTTAGGCGCTCATCTAATATGCTGGGTTTTATTATTAGAAACAGTAAAGTGTTCAAAAATTTACAGACACGTATCATTTTGTACAAAGCACTAGTACGCAGTCTTCTTGAATACTGCCCTGTTGTATGGAGGCCACACTATGCCACGCACATATTAAGAATAGAACGGGTCCAAAAACGCTTTTTATGGCATTTATCTCACATCTCCAAAGTTTCAAAGAAAAAGTTATCCTATCATGAAAACCTCAAACACTTTAAAATGTCCTCGTTGAATAAAAGAAGAACCCTTTTGGACCTAATATTCACTTATAAAATTCTTAATAATCAAATCGACTGCCCTCAGCTCCTAAACCTTTTTAATTTCAGGATCCCGCTCAGGGCTCCAAGGAAACCCGTTTCTCTATTTTATCCGCCATTCCGCAGGACTGTTTTAGGAAAACATTCACCAGTTCCTCGTCTGTGTAACGCATTAAATACGTGGTTTATTGATGATCCCAAGGATGTTTTCTCTCTTAAACTTAACCAGTTTCGTGTACATTTGTTAAAAAAAATCCCAGATTAATTATACCTATCTTTTATCTGTAATAACTAGTTTAAAATTAACCTTATATCAATGTAAAAGGTACTTATGTCACATGTTAAAATAGCACGCTGTGTTTACCTGTAACTGATTGTGCATTTAGCTCATAATAGTTTATTACAATGTAACTAATTTAAGTTTCTGTAATGTAACAGTCGTTGGTAGACCAAATAAATAAATAAATAAATAAATGTATTAAGGAAAGAAATAAATCTCTGAAGCTCATCCACTGATCCTAACCATCAGAAAATTGTGGTATAACCATTGGTGGTAGCTTTGGTTTAAGCTTAGGAAGGTCTCAAGTTGTGTCACAGACATTGAAGATTCACTCATTGGTGTAATATCATAAAACCTATCCTTTAGCCAAGTATTTGACGCACTGTTATTGAACTATGTTCGACACATGCACTTTATTTAGAGTTTATCCGTTAGCAGCAGGACCAATTGGTTATTGAAACACTCACAGTTTATCACTAGGTTTTACTAACATACTACACTGTATTATAGAAAGACTCAGGGAGGCAAAGATTGTTTAACTACATAAGTATATCGTAATGAAAAATTCAAGTTATACCGTGATTCACTCGGTGACAGCGCTATCTAGAGAGCACAGGAAGAATGAAATTAAATCAGAAGATTTGGATTTCAGTTTGTTACCTAAACAGAGGTACTCAATTCGACTGTATTTTTTTATGTTTGTTAACTCATAACTTTTTTTTAGGTGAACCGATTTTGACGATTATTTTTTATTTGAATGCTGGTGCTTCTTATGTGGCCCACATAAATTTGATCAAGGTCTGACTAGTAGATTTTGAGTTATCCTTAATAATTTATAATGAAGTCGGTTGTACAAAATTTTTCTTTTTACCGCCTGTTTTAAATTAATTTTACACCATATAAACTAATGTCAACAATTACTGTCATTAGTTGATTATAAACTGCTGTATGATGTTTCATATCTGCCGGGCGTCCCGTGACGTTAAGTTTTTTTTTTTTTGCAACCGAGCCGCAACAAATTAATTATACTATTTAAGATACTCTTTGTTAAAGAAATATAAATTATAAAAATTTTGTACAAATATAGCTTTGGAAAGTATGTCTCAACATATTAGATATATTTTCTTGTATTCAGAATCTTATTTATTACACCTGGCGTTCTAGACTAGTAATTTGGCTCTCGTTATATATTAATACGGGGTTATTAACACGTAATATTTCGAGAAGGTTTGTTGAAGTCTAGCTGGAAATAATAAATCCATATATCCTTAACGATATTTAATCACGTACAAAGAAAGCTAACAACGTTGTTAAGCTTTTTTCAAACAAGCAATTAAAGCTCGCAACAACACTTGAATTAGAAGTAAGCCGAAAAGTTGTTGGATATATTTTTTAATGTGACTTATACATAAACATGTTACAGAAAATCCATAAATCCATTGCGGCCCTTCACAAGGCAAACACAAAACATAAGCTCCACCCAAGGAATGCCACAATACACGGTCAACTAGGGAGCCATCTTCATTCATCGATTTCCTGAATCTTACCAAGTCGGCACTCTACCTAGTGAGGGGCCGCCCCACATTTCACTTATCGGTACTCGTGAACCTTTCTTGGCCATCAGTTATCGGTTCTTCGAGCTATATAACCAGCCCATTGCCACTTCAGCTTACTGATCCAATGGCTTATGTCGGTCGGTTCTACTACGGATATCCTCATTTCTAAGTCTATAGCCCACACTTCACTTACCGGTACGAGGCTGTAACTCGAGAACCTTTTACAAATTTTAATGTTACACAAATTAATTTATATGATTTTATTTTATTACAAGAAGTACAAACATTTTAAGGTCATATTCTGTAACTGAAATAGATGAAATAGATAAAAAAATGTTATTCATAAAATTCCAAATTTCCAATATTGGTTTGTATTTCTAAATTGGATAGCAGTAAATGCAGGGCGTTGAATTTTGCTGACAATATTAAATATTGCAGTTATTTTTTTTAATTCATGTAGATTTAAAAACAAACAAAAGCGAATTACTGTATACCTTTGTCAAATATAATTATTTTTTCCAAGGATATATGCTCCTGCTATGTGAATCAAATACCGCAATTTTTCTTCAAATATGAT